TACTTTCATGGTATTTTCATAGACGAGTTTGTGTTATCACTGATCGACATTTTGCTAAGACAGCTTTTCAAGCTCACACTGTCTTCTCAAGTGCGTGCTGCTCAAGCCAAAACAACATGTGTGAAAGGAGGCAAAGGGTTTATTGTGCTTTGCTGTTTTAACGGTAGGACTTCTGGTATCTGGCACGGGCACCAGGTCCGCCAAACTTCTTGGGCTCGCAGCGCCTTGGGTCAGCCACAAGCAGCGTGCGGTCGTACTGGATCAAGGTGTCCTTAATCTCCTTCTTGGACTGCTCGTCCACATCTGCAAGTAGACAAAAAAAAAAAAAAAAAAACAGTCAAAGCTGCGCAGATAAAGCAGCAAAAAGACAAATTTATGCACCTTAAATTAGCTTGACTTCTGTGAGCACGAATGTAAAGTCTCGCTCAATTTTATCACACCACAGGACAGTACAACTAGATGTCAGGAGCACTAAATCCTACACAAGCTCATACTACAACAGTGTGGTGAATTAGACAGCCATAGTTGAATAAACTGAACTTGACACAGTGATCCTTCATTGAAGTTCACGGAAAACCAAACACAAAGGGCTCTTGAAAGAAGTGAGGGTCTTGCAGACATTCGCTGTTTAACGTACATACAAGTTGCTAGCATTTAAAACTATTTTTCATGCAGTGATGGTACCTCTACATAACCAAGTACCGCCACACAAATCTGAAAAAGAGGGTCCATAGCATCCGGCCAGCAATACTATTTCCAGTAGGGCTAGAACTCACGACATATATGTGCCGTGTAATGCAGCCGGAAGCAAAAACCTGCTGACAACACAGTGTACACACTGTTTGAGGCACTATGTACACCGGAGTAGCAAAGATGAAAATTGATTAAAATAGTTTTGAACATAATGAACAGGTACTGAGGTAAAAACAGCACATCCTGTGACATAACAATGGTGTACTGTATAGGAAATGATCCTATCTGCTTACTGAACAATTGGGGATGATCACTTTCTCCATGCATTAGAGAAGAATGATGAAAGTTAATGTTGTCTCTAATTGCTACCGAATGAATTATCTGTCTGTACTGAAAACTTCATGCGAGTTGAAGGAAAAGCTTATGTTGACTTCCATCAGAACTAAGAGGCAACCCTGGCATCTATAGGACCACCAGTTGCCACAATTTCTATTCGAAGAAATAAGAATCAGCTATTTTTGGCTGACATTTTTTTAACTGTGTGCCTGCAGCACAGCAACGTGCTCTTTTCCAATGACCGTGCAACTTCATATGTTGCAACGGGTGCTACAAACAACGCCACCAAGTTGAGGGCATAGCAATAGCGTACAACTCACAAACCATCTCTTAAAACTATAGAAATAACTTTTTCTATAAAACATGTCAACTGTGTGCAGTTCCCTCAATTAATGAACAAAAGCTCAGTGAGGAAGCCCTATTTTGAAATGTTTGTGCTATATAATGGAAACTACCATTTAATTGTTGATAAAAAATAGAACGGTCTAGTAGTATGAGAACCAAACGTGGGCTTACATTTCTGGTAGTATGCAACGAGGGCCTTGGAAATGGCTTGCCGGATGGCTGCATAGGACAGAAGCATTTAGCATGTTGAAAAACCTGGAGCAAATGACACTGCAGTGCACAAGAACAATGAAACCTCAAAATTCGTAGTAGGCAATACGGTGGTGCACCAAAGTAATAAATATTTCCTTGAAAAAAAAAAAAAAAGATTGCTTGAAATGATTTCTTATGAGCACCAAACGACAATCCTCATGAAGACTCTGAACTCGACAGGTCATAAACGTAACTATGTTAAGGCTAAAAATGAGTTCAGAGTTTCACTAAGGTAATATGCAAGCCTGCTATTCTTGCACCTCAAGTTCTTTAGTCTGCATAACAAACCAACAGTGCGTGTAAGCAAAATATTGCAGCCCCAGGCTACACAGCAGAGAAACATCAACATCCGCAGGCACTTGACTCTAGAATCGCATAGCAGAGATATTCAGCTGCCCTTCCTGTAGTGCACACCCAGAAATGCAAGCTGTTGGAATGACAGCACATTAGGAGTACGGGGGAGGAAAATTACACAGTGATGACCAAGGCCTACCACTAAATGAAACCACGTACCGTAAATCTGGGCCACGTTACCACCACCCTTGACACGGATCCTGATGTCAACGCCAGCGAAACGCTCCTTGCCCAGCAACAGGATGGGCTCAAGCAGCTGTGAAGAAAGGGGAAAGCATAACTTACTTTACCATATTCGTAAAGTACAAACTCATCCCAATAGGAACAGCGTTGTCGACGACGAAGTTGTCAGGGGATCCCTGGAGGCAAACAGGTGTGGTAAACAAGCGGTACCACTCAGCTTTCTAACAGTGTTGGTGTGCTGTGTACAACCTTACGATTTGTTTTATATGTCACAAGCATCGACCATAGGTTACGATAGTTCACAGTATCGGCAAGAATGAACGTGATCGGCGATATATCGTTCAGATAATGCTGAAAGCGTGCATGTATCCAAAGGCAGCGCAGCAGATGGCATTCGCACTTGCGCATCGCAGGGCGTATCTCGTTACTTCTCACGTATATTAGACGCTGCCATGCCCTAAAGGCACATCCGTAGAAAATACGAAAAGCGTGACATGTGAGAACACGGGTCGGCTGGCGGTTGTAACGGCACAACACTCGAAAAGTATCGCATGACAACATAGGACGATCCCTATGCATCGCCTACGGTTCCTTGCTAACACATAACACACACACACGCCTGACAGCACGCTTACCTTGTAACGCAGCGTCAAGGGCTCGATGTTCTCCAGCGGCCGGCCGTTCACTTTGAGCAGTCCATTGCCGCGCTTGCAGTAAGCGACGGCAGTGGCAGTTTTCTGAAAACACGCAGAGCATCGTTAGCGCTGCCATACTAGTATATAGATCAGCGGGAGACGAACAAAGTCCATATTCTCTCAACTGTCACAGCACACGGCTCGATAACGCCGGCATCCACGTGTAGTGGACCAAGCCGGGTGACCAACCCGTCCGCAGAACACGCCGTACTAAGTAATCGAACAAAACCATCCGCTTCGAGTGAAAACTTAGCCCGAGATAAAGTTATTAATCATAAACGCCGCAAACTAAGAGGAAACTTTGAAATCAATCTGGCGACAACTTTGACGACCGGGATTTGATATTAGGCCTACGCACTCACCTTCCTACCGAACACTTGAACCGATTGTATAGTTTCTTTCGTGGGCCTGCAAAAATATTGGGACGTGAGTATCTGCCCTCAAAAGAACGACAACACACCCGAACACGAGCCTAAATATTGAGAAAATTACTTACGCTGCCATATTTGCGAGCAATCAGACCCAAACGTGGTCTGTACCTAAAAAGCACGAAAGAGAAAGGAAGGAAAGAAGTAAACTCTCGTTGAGATCTCGTGGAATCTCGACTAAAGTCACTCAGCGAGTGCAATCCGATGTTAAAGCCAAAGCCACAATCAAAGCAAGTACAACCAGCCAACGCCTGCCAAAACGAGTCAGACGAGCGTCGACTGCTACACGCAAGGACCAACGCCTCCTGCATTAGAGGAGGCGTTGCAAGGACGCAAGTCAGACTGGAGCATTGCAGACCACGCTGACATACCCGGAAACGCTCGGCTAAAGTGTAGCAGGGGTTATTTGCTAAAGTAATGCCCACCTGAAAGATTTCGGTAATTAGTTGGTATTGCCACTGAGATAGCTGTAGCAACACAGAAAGAAAAGAAAAAAAAAAAAGGTCACAGCATATCCACGGAGTGAGTGATGATGAGTGGGCCCGAGCGAAGCGTCCGTCCGCTTTTATCACACTAGAGCGCGCATCATACAACTAGGTGGTCACAGACAAGGGATGGACAAACGCGCGGATTTTGAAGCTTCGCCTCTAAAATGGATTAAGGTGGCTTTCACAATGGGGCCCCAAGCCTGAAGAAAGTGCGTAGCTGGACAGCCATCTGTCAGTAGCTTAGCCAGAAATTTAATCAGGGGCGGGGGTTTAGTCATGCTTTATTTATGTGTTTGTATGTGTGCGTGTACGCAAGCAAAATTGAACGATTACGAACCCTTCTCTACTCCACCCCTAGGCTACGCCCATGCCTTCTTTGTTTTACACTTGGAAACAAGTTTCGTAGATTTTTTTTTTGTGAAGCACAAAAGCTTGAAGATTAGTTCTCGAATATGCCATAGCAAACATTCAAAGCAATAGTTGCTCAATTTTTTTAGTCCTTCACATACAGCGTGTGCCTTAAGAACACCACTACTGAACTGCGCAAAGCTTTAGCTCGGACACCGTTTTTCTATGCATACGCAAGCCCTAAATATGATGTTTATTTATAGTACTTAAATCTTCTGACCGTAAGAAGCCATCATTTTAAAAAGCAAAAAATTTGAAAAGTTGCAAAATGAAGGGAAGTGTTCAGTATCACAAAGACACAGAATTTATTTTACATATGCTATGCAAAAGATATGATAACTGCATAAATGGCATAGATGAAAGTTCAATGTTGCATCTTGTGAAGCAATGTGATCATGCTGGCCATTCACTCTTGGCCCCATATATAAATTTATGTAAAGGTTCCCACACTAATGTGTCAAATGCATCATTCATGGCTCACTTGCAAACATGCGCTCCAAGTTTGAAGGCGTTGCACAACCACCAAAAACAGAATGCACTGAAAAGAAAAAATGACTTACGACTACAAGTGCCATAAAATAACATCTCTTTATTGACACCGGTGCTTTGCCTGTAGGCAACACACTTCTACATACATCATTTTAATGTAGCCGTGCAGATAACAAAATAAACAATTTAAATTGGGCATGACTAATGAAAATTGCCACATATACAATTTCTTTAGTAATTTGTTCCCGGGAGAGGAACACAATATCAATTACTATGTGAATGAGATGCGTGTCATATTTTCTAGTACCGCTTGACAACTCTTGCTATCATTTGGCTCTTAACTCTGACTGACCTACCCAACGTTAAACATCTCCCCTCGAAATGCAAGCCTCGACGTGAACGGCTGTGACGGGCACGTGAGCATTACCCACCCATTCAATTCTTTTGCTGGCTTTTTAACACAGTGCTCGTAATCTTCTGTTTTCACTGCCGACTTTTTGTCAAATTCTTCTTGAAGAGCTTGTTGTAAGAAACCTATGGAGTGTGCAGTCACACCACTAGAAGTTCTAGTTTCACTCTCATTTGCATCACCAATCATCACATTCTCCTCTTCTCCAGGGTTAAGCATAACTTCTTCAACTTCTGCTTTCCAGCCAGCCATCGCATTTACCGTAATGCTTGCAGATGTATTGAGACCGTCAGTGTTATTGCTGCCAAGTCTGTCACCCAAGCCATCTTGAACACGATTCTCCTTGCCCTGGTTACCAAACTCTGATACTTCGGCATTGTCTTTGGCCCCATCAGCTTTAGCAGAATTCACAACCCCACTGTCACCCATCCCAGCGGAAGTGTGAACCACTGCCTGAACTGACTCTTGAGAGCCATTGTCAGCATCTAGTGATGTCGAGACAGGTTCCGAAGAATTGAGATCGGCGGGTTGCTCAGCAGGCTCAGTTTCATCAACAGGTTTACCATAGTTATCATCTGCAGAAGCTTGGTTCCTCATGTACTCCTCAATCTCATCATCGAACTCTTCTTCATCTCGGTCATAGTCATTGGAGCTTTCTTCCTCAAAGGGATCAGCGCTGGTCTCCGTCGAGACAGCTTGGGGCAGCTGTGGTTGCAGTTCATCGGTATCACCCGTTTCGGTTGCACCAGATTTTGTGGAATGTGGATAGCCTGCAGCCACATCCTGCATTGAATCGCCCGCTTCACCATTACGGTCGGTAGGAATATGATCGTTATGCAACAGTTCCAGCTTGGTGGCATCCAGTACTTCACCCTCATTCTTTAGAGCCTTGTCATCACTGTCAGCAATCGACAAGTTGGGCCGATGGCTGCCCTTGGCTTCACCAGTCACCGAGTTTGTTTCATCATCCTCACCTTCTTTGTCTGAACTTAAAAACTGAAAATTTGGGCATCAGCATCATCGGATTCGTCCTGCCGCACAACTTTCTTATCAACTTTGACATTGTCCGACTCTGCATTTTCTTCTGCGGCTTTCTCGGAAGAGAGCAGGTCAGTGAAAAATGACGTGGGATCACGAGCGGGAAAACTTACAGGGGCTGAGAGAGATGAAGGCTGTTCTTTATCTGTAGATGATTCGGCACAATGGGGCTTTCCGCCATTACCAATGTCGTCTGTGTCGCCAACATTTTCGCTTACCCGCAAAGGCTTGATGAAGTCGTCTCTGTGCTCGTCCAAAAGCAATTTGCTCACGTCAAACTCTTTTGCAAAGTCTCGAAGCGCTTGGTCCTCCAAAGCCTTGTCTACGCTGCAACAATGAACCGCCGCCACATCAACAGGGTGAGCCTCAGTGTTGAATATGTAGGCTCCCGTGTCTATGATGCACTCTCCCGATGATGTCTGTATAATGTCGGCAGAACTGCCATTGTTGTGGATGAAGTGATCGGGAGTGAAGAGGAGGTAGAGATACTTGGTCGTTTCAGCCAAAAAGAAGGACTCCATTCGGTCTTCAAGAGTATGGTCTCCGACCTTCTTTATCTGAAGAAAAGGATATGAAAAAAGATATTACAGGAGTTTTAATCTCCAGATTTTCTCAGAAGGCAGATTATCAATATATAAATGAAAAAAGAAAATTTCCAAGGGGTTGATTCTTTGACACAACCATGATGACAGCCAAGAGATAATGAAGCTAAGGGAGGTATAGAGAACGTTAAATGTACTGTAATAATTGTGCTGTGGATGTGAAGAAAGTAACACAGATGAAAAGACAACTTGTCGCTGGCCGAGATCGAACATGCAACCTTCGAATAATCAGCGTCAGAAAGTTGCAAGTTCGATCTCTATCCGTGGCAACTTGTCTTTTCATCAACTTCACTTTCTTCATATCTATAGCACAATTACTATAATACACTTGAAACACTGTAACATTTTCTGTACCTTCCTTGGCTTCATTATTTGATGGTCTTCATTAAGAGTATCACTATACCATAAAAACTGTGAATAGCAACAACGTTGCTGCAAATGGAGTATTTTTAATGCAAGAGCACTGAGCACTGCTCTGTTTATGACGCGACTGAGCCGTTTTCAGTCAGGACAAGAAATCTGTGGCAAAAAAATTCTGCACAAATTGCATCAACTTACAAAAAAAAAGGAAATTAGACAACCACCTGTTTGTGGCACGAAGCCAAAAGAAAATTCATACAAATTCCTCAGAAAGAAAAGGTTCTTAGTCGCCGAAAAACTTGTCCTGGTTTGGGGATCGAACACAGGATCAACGCCTTTCTGAGGTGGTCGCTCTACCAATTGAGCTAACCGGGAAGCTAGCAATTGGCAGCGCGAGGGCGAATTCATCAGCAACTTGAAGCATGTGGACACAAGTAGTCCAAATGAGTTCAGCGAAGACCCGCAAGGTGACGTAAGGGTTAAGAAAGAGAAATTAGGCAAAAAAAAAGAAGTGAAAATGATGAACATTCGGAACTCACCAGCACTGCTACATGTTTGTAGGCGAGTGCACTAACCACAGCATTACCATTTTAACAGGTGACCATAATAAGTGGTTGGACACATGCTTTGTCAACCTAGCAGCCAATTTTCTAGATGGACCGGCACACACTACTGTTCTAAAGTCCCTGAAAAGATACTGCTCACGGTGCTGACACTGGTTGAAGGTAAAAAACCTGGATGCACTGCTCTTTTCCTGACAATGGAGCTGCTTGCTCTGCCAGTGGCATTGCTGGACATGCACACCACTTCACACATTGTACTTGGTGATAATTTAGTATGTACTTGAACTATGACAGCTCTATCTTACGTTATTATGGCTTATACATCAGCATCTCTTCCCATCCATACCCTTTTTTTTTCCCACTATCAGACAAGATAACACCGTCCAAACACCAAGTTACTGCTTCATTCCGCATTTTGGTGGCACATACGACAAAAACTACTTCAAAAATGAGTGCAAATGCTAAGTAAAACCTGCTCTTACAAGTGAAATTCAGAATCAGGCATTTTCACTGAAGGACTATATCAGTGCTCTTTTTCAGCCCAAGAATGCTGCACTGCACAAGGCCAACTCGGAGGTCATGCTTAGTTTATTTATTTATTTATTTATTTATTTATTTACATAGTTCCTGCAACGCCGTAGTGGCATTACTGCAGGGGGGTATACATAAGAAGTCATAGGAAACATTTCTGCGATAAGACGCCAAACATAGTGAAAAAATTCAATTGTAACAACATATAAAAATAAAAAATATTTTAGTACAATATTGCACATGACAACAGGTACCAAAAGAGAAGTACATATGTCACAATTTCACAACGATGAGAAAAAAGCGCTGTTGTCACTCAAGTTCACTATACCTTCGGGAAGTTCATTCCAGTCTCTAATTGTTTTTAAAAAGAAGGAGTTGGCAAAAGTAGTGGTTTTGTACGCGTATTCTTGTATTTTATGTGAGTGTTGGCATCTTGTGGAACGATATGTTGGTGCTAGTAGGTATTCAGACTTATTAATTCCTGTTAGGTTATAATATATGCTATGCAGAAGTTTTAATCGAAGTTTCCGTCTTCTAGATTTTAGAGTTTCCCAGCCTAATATGGCCTTTATTTCTGACATACTAGCGAATGGGTCGTAGTTGTTGCTGACGAAACGGGCTGCCTGGTTTTGGACTTTTTCTATTGTTTTTGCAAGATACTTTTGAGCCGGGTCCCAGATAACACAAGCATATTCAAGTATAGACCTGACAAGAAGGAAGTAAAGAGTTTCTTTCACTTCTTTTGTTGCACAGTGAAAGTTTCTACGAATAAAAAACAACGTTCTACTAGCCTTTGAGATCATTTGGTCTATGTGTCTGTTCCAATGGAACGATTCTGTCAAGTAAATTCCTAAATATTTACACTCGGGCACCTTTTTGACTGCCTCGCCATTAATACTGTATGTGCACTGGATTTTTGAAATGTTCTTTGCAAAGCTGATGTGGTTGCACTTCGAGATATTTAAGCACATATTCCACGTGGAGCACCAATGTGTTACCGTGTTTAAGTCATCTTGCAATAGTTCAGTGTCTGTGATTGAAGTAATGTGACGGTAGATGATGCAATCGTCTGCGAATAATTTTATGCAAGATTTTATGTTATATGCTATATCATTTATATAAACCAAAAATAACAGCGGACCTAGAACGCTACCTTGTGGCACGCCTGAAGTCACGTTTACATATGAAGACGTTTTAGAATTTAAAACAACACACTGTTTACGACCACTTAAGTAATTCCGTAGCCAGGTTTGCAGCTTAGCATTAATATTCAGTGAAGCCAGTTTAATATCTAACAGATTATGTGGGACCGTATCAAATGCCTTGCGAAAATCGAGAAATAATGCATCAACAATGTTGTTACGGTCAAGCGCAGTCAGTACGTCATGCTGAAATTCAGTTAGTTGCGTGACGCATGAACGACCCTGCCGAAATCCATGCTGGGAGCGGGCAAAAAAATGAGTAGATTCGAGATATTTGAACAATGCGCTATAAATAACATGTTCTAATAATTTGCAACAGGTTGAAATTAAGGATATGGGACGATAATTTTGTACATGTTTTTTGCTTCCTGCCTTATGTACAGGAACCACATTGGCTGTTTTCCAATCCCTTGGAATAACGCCGGTGTCTAGAGACAACTTGTACATTATGCATAAATATTGTGCGATAATAACGTGACACTTTTTAAGTACATGAGATGATATACCGTCAGGCCCTGTAGCCTTAGAGGTGTCCAGAGTACGCAGCAGACTATCCAAACCAGCGTAATCGATTTCAATTTCCGCCATTTCATTACCAATATTTTTTGAAGGTAGCATTGGAGAGTGTTCAGTTCTTTTTGAAAACACTGACTGAAAATAGGCGTTAAATGCTTCAGCTTTCTCCAAGTCATCCGTTATAGTTTTTTCCTGGGTTAAAAGGTCAGGGATAGCTGTGTCGTCTTTTCTGTTGCTCTTGACATACTTCCAAAAGAATTTTGGATTACACTTCAAGTCTGTGTTTAGCTTGTCAAAGAAGACACGCTTTGCCTGTTTTAGTTTTAACTTAAGCTCTTTGTTTACACTTTTGAGCTTTGTTTTATTTAGTGCTGTTCTCTTTTTAAGAAACCTTTTATGGGCATTCGCTGCATTTCTAACAAGTTTGCGTATCTCAGAGTTGAACCAGGGTTTGTGCCTCTTTCTGCATCTTAGACACCTCTGAGGTACGTACATATTCACCAGCTCTGTAACCTTGTCACGGAAAATTTGCCACAATTCATCCATGCCGCATGACTCCGATATGCATAAAAAAGTGGGATAATACAAGACCAGCTCTTCGGAAATGGCATTAAAGTCCCCTCTGTCGTACATGAAAACATTTCGAGGGGTTTGCTTACACGCAGGTATTCTAGAAACGTTTAACTCTGCAACAACGCAACTATGATCACTAATTCCTGGACATACGTTTGTGTGAACAATAACATTTTCGTCATTGCTTAGTAAAAGATCTAGTAAAGCGTTAATCCGAGTTGGTTCGTTCACATATTGTTGTAGCCCATAGACACTCATTAGTTCTGAAAAGGCAGAACAATTTCGATTTTTTTGTGGGGCTACACAGTCGGAATCCCATTTCATATCGGGCAGATTGAAATCCCCTCCCAGTATTACGCAGTGAGATATTTGTGATAGTATGTCGGAAAGTTGAATCAAAGATTCATTGTTGTGGTCAGGTGGGCGGTAAAATGATCCAAAAACGATGGATCAGTTGGTCATTGTCTCGAGCTATGAGCCAGCTACGTCGCAGCAAAAAGAGTGCCGGAGCAAATAACTTCCCATAACATAGTCTTGTGAAGTTACACCAGTCAAAAGAGCATCTTCTGTCTCATTGAAATACAATATTATTCTGCCATATGCTATTGTAACAGTCCCAATAAATTACCAGTGGCTGACTATATTTGCCATGTAAAAATATACATTCATCCATTTATAGTGCAGAAAGCTGGCTGGAACTGTTTTTGTGCGATAGCAGCTCCAATCTTGTTCAATGTTTATGTCAAGTTTCTGTTCATGAAGTCTGTGTTCCCAGTTAGCTGACACATTTACTTCACTTAATGTTTGCCTCAATAAAAATGTCGGGTCTCTTTAATATGCAATCAATATAACCCAAGTATCTCTGCTTGCGCAGTTAGGGCAAATCAGGGATCATTTGGCAAGACCTTGTTGCTGCAGTGGACATCAAATAGGCTCGCAATAATGATGATGATACCCAACACTCAACAGACAAGTTCAGCACATCCCAAAAAGAAAACCTTTTCTCACCGTCTAAATTCAAGGGCCAAATTACTCCTTAACTGACACATTTAAAACTGAACAGGTTCACTCATGTAAGGGCCATCGTGGCTGCAATGCCCAAAAAGAAGCAGCAAAGAAACTCACTGTTGCATAACCACATTCTGTCTTGGCGCTGTGCCTGATTGATTCAAGGATGTCGACACCAATTTCCAGGAAATGTGGATCCTTTGTGGCTTGGTACAGATAGACTAGGCTCTCGACAAGTTCTGTAAGAAATGCAGACCGTTTGAATGACATAACACAAGAACCTAGACACCACAGCAGAAGGAAAAGCTCAAGTTTAAGGAATATGAAACACATGCCAAGTGTGCAGGCGTGTGGCTTCCCAGCACCTATAATAATGCACAGAGGCGTTATATTTTACCCCTACATGCTAGGCAAACTCATTTCATGAATTCAGTTTGCCACAAATGAGTTACAGTAAAAATATCACAGCTGAATTTGCCCAGGAAAACTTTGAAATCCTAGCCTAAACACTGATCTGTCCTTTTTTACTTCTCTCATAATAATTTGCATTCACCATGCATCTTGTCTTAAAAGAGTCAAGCACAATATAAAATGATATTTTCCAACGTATGCTCGAAGCTTACACTTGCTTAAACATAGGGCAAAGTTGTGCATCGTAAAAATATTCGTGCGGAAGCTGATCTGCATACAACTATGAGGCCTTCCAATTAATTTCGACCAGCTGAAGTTCTCTTAGCACACACCCACTGTAGTGCACCCACTTACACGGACAACTTGTCCAACATGAATGTATTATGTTGAGGTCAAGCTGAGCGAGAAATGTACAACTGCCAGTAAACAACCGCAGAAAATGACAAATTAACAGGAAATTCCATTGCTTCTCTGTCGTCGTCAACTACTGCGGTATGCTTCTATCAGTGTGGATGCACACCTTACAAAAGAACATGACTGCGCATATTGAAATATAGTGTGGCTAAGGCTCATAGGTAGCACACAAACATCTTAATATGCCCATGTTTTTTTTTTTTTAAACGTGAATCTCGCAGTCTTAAAGTACCAGGAAAGTCTTACTGGTTTGATCTTCCTTGAACATAAGCCCAATAACCGTCTTCCACCACCTATCATATTCAGCAACACTCTTACTTGTCTGGCGCACAGTGCCAAGATCTCTCAATACAATCAACTGAACTCTGACGCCTGTCATTACTGTAACATTATGTCTGTGTTTTTTATATGCGCCAATATGAAATTTATATTAGTACTTCTAAAGAGCAGTATTATGTGCTACTGCACTAAAAACCTTAAGATACAACATGTAGCAATAACAGAACTGCTTTAGACATGGGGTTATGCAATAATAATGTAATGTCATGAAAAGTCTTGCAACAAATCGAACACCAAGCACACACTAAATTACAGCTAATGATGAGGTAGTAAGTGCCATGTTGCCGCACCATTATCAGGTATTATATTCAAATAGGTTGGTGCCAAATTTGGACTGCATAAATATTGTTACGCATGCCTTGGAAGAAAACGAAGATGGGTGAACATGCTGACTGCCCCAAGCTGGAGGAAGAAAGAAGACGACGAGACTGCGATCATCAACCTGTTGGCCGCTCCGGCGCTTCTCTTCGCGACCAAAATAAACGGCTCCCTTCAGCCGTATACGTCCTGGTCCTCCTTGTGCGTAACAATATAATCAGAAGCAAAGGCTACTGAAATAGCATGTGCCTGTCCTCTCAGCTCAACCCACAATCAAGCCAGGGCCCCAGTAACGACTCACCTGGCCTAAGTGGGTAGCCATCTCGCTTTGGGTGAGCTCTTCCGTGCACCACTTCGTAAAATTCGGGAGTGAAACCATACTCCCTCCATATCTGGTGGTAGTTATATAGTGACTTGCGTGCATTGTCCAAATCACCTATTAGAGTCTGCAGGTAAATGTGGTAGGAGAGAAAAACGAAGCAAGAGATAAGCAGGTGCCGCAAGGCTTTCTATATAAACATGGCGAGGGCAACTAAACAGTTTAAAGAGGACCGACTGATGGGATAGTTGGTAGTGCATAACTCGAAATAGTAGTGCAAAGAATAACACGGATGACGACACGATGCAGCAGGATGAAGACAAGGACGCAGTGGCTGCGTGCCGTCTTAATCTGTCGTCGTTTGTGTGATTCCTTTGTGCCAGTGTCTCGAGTTATGCAACTAAACAGGTTTGTAATTGTTGGTGCTGCATCCCATGGCCACCACCTGAGCCTGTGATGTTGTGCATAGCAATGTAGCAATATTGTCATGAAGCCCCTTCAGCGACATCAGTGAATTCAAAATTCTGTGTAACATTGCCGTAACAGTGAAAATACCAAAACACAAAAGAATGTAAAGTGAAGCCAGGCAATATAATAAATGAAACTGCATATCCAAATAAATAAACAAAATGATTACGCATCGTCCTAAGAGAATGCATAATCAGGAGCTAATAATTTCGGCGTTACTTAAATCGCCTTACAACCAGTTTTTTTCTTGTAGAAGTTTTATGAAACCTCCAAGCTGTATGACGCAGCGACGTCTCAAGCAATAGTTTATGTTAGAGCAACAAGACATACTATGCTACTCAACTAAAGAACTTCAGAAGCTCATTGAAACACACGCACCATTCAGGTTTCGTTATTTGAGAGACCAAAATGAGGGAGTGGAGAATACAGTGCACAAATCATTCCGACTTATGTTGCCAGCTAAATTATTCCAGCTTTTAACATTGTTCACAGTTTAAAATCCTAATACTAGCGAAAGCTAACAAGACCTCAGTTTACATATGCAATAGCCTCAGCAAACATCATTCAGAAATTGAAATTGGACCGATGTAGGAATGAAGCCGAATATTCCGGCGTCAAAATAATGTAGTTGTTACTAACCAACAAACCTGGCCAAAATGCCTCGAGGCTTTGGAATACTGGCATGGTTACTTTGCCGGAAGAATTTTCCACCCAGAAGTACCAATCATCACGTTTCATATACTTGCTTATCGTTTTCTCATACTCTGCAAGTGAACAACGAAATAACAAAACGTTAAGAGGAACAAGCAAACTTCCTCGATGCATTTAAAACTGTGACAGCTTTCCCACCCATTCCTTCTTTGAAGAGGAACCTGTCACAAGACACTGCGAAGAGTTCCAAGTTTTCAAACAAGACAAAAATAGAGAAAAAGGTAAGACAAAACAACACACACTTGAAAGAAAAAAGCTCTCAGAAGAAAACTAAGAAGTGAATATTGTAAAACTGTTATGCAGTACTACCAGAATATTAGGGCTATGTCCAGTATAGAGGAGGTATAATACTAATATACACATGTGCCATAAAATACCATAGGAGATATTTCAATCCTTCATTGTTTAAACAAAGATACAAACATCACATGATGTCATACCTAACAGAGGAATAGTCTACTTTTTATGCTACAGTCCTTTCTTTTCTCTACTGATGACTCTCTCTAAGTAGTTGTTCTCCAATTGAACCGAAGGACTCCATGCACAATAGTACTTCAAGAGCAGAGTAGCATCACTCGAACCTTTGAACATGCGCATAAGTTCGGGCCTCTGCAGCATGATGGCACCTTTGACCAGGTACTCGTAATAAGAATCTACGCCAGCTCCTATGCCAGAATCTGTAGCAGTCCAGATGCCAAGCTGAACATCAATGTGGTTGCCAACCTGTAAGATAGCAGCAGGTATATGACACAACTTTTGTCAATACTGCTGATTGAAACACAGATATAAACATTCACAAAACCAATGCATCTAATGATACATACAAAGTGAAGAAGTACTCATGCGCTGCATCATACGTATATCACACTTAGGTATTCAAGGCTCACTAATGCTACAGATACTGTCAGAACATGCTGAAATGCAGCGCATATGGTTCCCATGCAGCCAAGGGAAATCGCTGGGTTAAGATTTCTTGTGAAGGCTGCTGCATGATACGAAATCACTTATGCTTAAAGGGGCTCTGCATCACTTTTTTGGGTAATCATGAAATGGCTTCACTAAAAGAGTTTATTGCCCCGAGAATCAACTGCCACCAAAATTTTTGGAATCCATCAAGTACGAACAGAGTTGCAGGGATTTCTTGAACGCCTGTAACTGCTTTCTCTTTTCTCCCGTCTCGACAAGTGCACTGGAAGCTAAGCAAGGTGGGATGGCAAGGGGAAAAAATGTCGTGCATGCGTCATGACCTCGAGCACTTTCTTTTTTTATCGAACGCGTGGTTTACATTTAGTGCGATCACAAGCACATGCGCAAGACAGCCTCGGTAACTTCATAGCTCTTAAGCTTTAATCAGCCAATGAGCATATTGTAGGGATGCCAAGGCAGACACGCTAAAGAACAAGTCTTTATTAGGGCGAACTTGTGCCCACGAGTCTAATGACAATGGTCGTCGAAGTCCGAGTAGCTGAGTTGCACAGCTCCGATTGTCTTCCTCATAGCCTGAGCGCATGAACGCGTGGCACATGCCAGCCGGGTCTTGCCTGGTGCTCGTGCCATGATGATTGCGGCGGGCTACTTGAACGTTGCCAAGCTGTCGCGGCATGGCACCATTTGTAACAAGGGGAGGAATAATTTCTAGCTGACTGTGAAAATTAATTCTGAATTCCAGGCTGTGTGCTATGATATGTGGCTCATGTGCTCTCAGAAGCCTCGACTACCGATCGGCAGCGTTATCTGCTCTTTCCGACAAAGTGTTCCAGGGCTTCTTCCAGATAACTTTTGGTTGGGCAGGTTGGTGTACATTGATATTTGCTTTAAGGCACCAGACAGCAAAATCACGAGGAAGGGCATAGGATAGAGTGCCACTGACAATTGCTTCATTTGCAAAAAAGCCCGTACATATCTTTCTCAGCGCCTGCGCAGAAAACATGCCATAAATTGTGATAAAGTTTTGCACCCTCTAGGAACTTCTCCTCAGAAGTGTACAATACTGTGAAAGTGCCGCTAATACACATGCTGCCTTTTTTGCTAATACAGAACACTTAAACTATTCTCCTGGCAATAACCTGCATACCAGAAAAGCACAGCCCACAAGAGCTTGACGAGCTATTCTTAATATGAATTGCAATGGAATCGAAAGTCGGACTAGTTGGATATGCACGGTGTAACTGTCAGTTCAAGCGCAACAATAAACAGAAAGGAAGAGAGGACAAGGGTCCTCTCTTTCTTTCTGTTTATTCGTGCGCTTGAACTGACAGTTATACCATTAATATGTTTAGGCAAATTTGGTCCCCATTTATTTTGCACAACCTTTTGTTGACTTTCCCTAACCCGCTCATCTAAAGCAACCAATTTGTTCTATACAAGAACAGCCACATGTAAAAAAAGAATATCATAGACTAACCCTTCGGCACATCTTGTGAACGACAGCCTATGCTGAGTCCACATGCTAATTACATTACCCTCTTCCTTTTTTATTCGAAAGCAAAGTTCTCCAAGCTTCCTAAGAGCTGAAAAGATAAATGAAATGCCAAGTCTTCTCGCAAGCTTTTTCAGATGATGGGCCAACTTGTGCACGTATGCACACGACCGCCAGTTTGGCCTTTTGCAAGAGACCTAAGCTTTACGAGCCCTATTCATCTTTTTTTTTAAATGAGGATTTGAGGAACACAAATCACACTTGTGTGTTTTTTAGTAATCAATAATAGTTATAGCTATATCTCTGACAAAAATCTATAGCAGGCCACATGGCTTTTAGCACTTCAATTTAAGCAAAATCTACAACAGCTGTAATTTACATTGCACAATTCGAGAAAGACTGAGGTCTGCAGATTACCAGGCCTATGGATGTCCGGGCTTTCCAAAGAGCTCGCAAGGCTCGCAGAGCCACCTGTTCGAAGACCGGATTGCCTGTTAGCCGGCTGAGGGTGGCAAACTCGATCAAAAAGGTCCCCACGCCAGCTGTGCACGTGATACTGGTCTCTCCCAGTGGTACTCCGTTCATTAGGTTGACTGTACCATATGGCATGCCAGTCTTCGTGTCAAAAGCTACACACAGAAATAACATTGTCTCAGTCTTCATGCAAGGCTTGTAGCTATTTTGTCCCAGAGACCTTTCACCATCCGAAAGCTGCTGCCACGTGACAAAAAGGTTTTATAAGTATGTAAGACTGCTTCAAAGTGAACAAACTGTTGGGTTTATTGTTCTAAAACTGCATGATGAGTAATGGATGATGCTATATTGAAGGGCTACAGAATATTTCTGATAAGGTTTAAGTTCCTTTGACTATGCCCTTCTAGATGCAAGAGGTATACCCGGGAAAAACCCATCAGATGTTTTACAAAACAGCAACCCAGTCAGGAAGGCATGGTAGAAAGTACAAGCACCGTTTTACAACAGAGAGAGAAGCAAAGCTGAGAACTTAGGCAATAATTTGCTGCTTGACATTTCTCAAAACATGTACTAGCCATTTGAAAACATAATCAGAGCCAGTAGACAAGCACTTAGGACAGATGACACCACAGTGATAATTGTGGTGGCATCTCTCCTATGTCCTTGTCTGCTAGGGCTGAATATGTTCTGAAATTCAGCTTACTAACACACCCTAAAAATGGCAACGCACAGCCATGTGTTGCATTATCAAGCTCAAGCCAGCTGTCGAGATATCAGCCCAAGCAATGTCTTGGGCTGATGCGATGTGTAAGACGACAGAGAAGACAGCCTATGTTAGCTCTGTCAGTTACCAAATTTACTTCTCATAAATATTTTTCACTTACGGAACTATGAGCTTCAAGCAGTATATTCTTTTTTCGCCCATTTCATTTGGTTGCAGCTGGCCAGCCGCATTGCCATGCAAAAATCTTGGCTTCATTAAGCGGCTTGCTGTTTCCCAGAGATAAACGAAGCAAACTAAACGAGAATAATGAAAGAAATACAACACCTGGAAGCAGTCGTGTGGCCACATCCTCGGCAAGGCGCAACAGAGGTCCCGAGCAGGGCCAGCCTGGCTCGAGAGGCATTTGAGCTTTTCGGTACAGTAGATGTGCAGAAAGCAGGCCACCAACAACTGCTCCAAAGAAGAAGGAATGTATCAGAAAGCTGTAATTAAATGCCAAATTAAACTGAAACCATGTGTAGCAGAGCATTCTGCCGTTCGATAGTTTTTCAAAGATTTTCGACTGCATATAAGCAATTGTTCTAACACTTAAAACTTAGTTGTTAACTTACAGAGCAGTGCATTGCCAGCACTACACATGACTAGAAATAGAGCACAATGCTGACTGGACCTGCACATTGTGTCCCTTTCCCCGAATTTCACACATCTTGCAAGCACTAAAAACAACTATCAATGTTCTGTTGGCTAGTATCAGGGGATTTACCTGATTGTATGATGAAAATTTGCTTCTGATGGTTATTGTGAAATCCTCAAGCCTCTTGTAAAAATCACTTATTCAGCTCATGAAAGAAGGCAAATGCGGCATGCAAACAGGTGTTTTTCACACTTCAAAAGTCGCTAAAGGAGAATCGATCGATAGATCTTTTTTCTAGCAGTTTTCTCGTCGAAAGTTGCCTCCTAAAGGGACACCTAATCAGAAAAATGATTTTTCTTGCATGAGTAAATCGCTCTTTCACGATACCAAAGTCACAGTTACCATGAGACGACGCTTGGTAAGCGAGAAAACGTGTAAAAAGAAAATGCTCGTATTGACACCCCCTCGAAATTCCCACATCAATTGCTAGAACGTCATAGATTTTGACAGTGTTTACTAGGGCATATGGCACCCCTAATCGGTAAAAAATATGGGCATTAATATCTGATAGGGTGACAGACCTAACCTACCAAATTTCAAGAAATTTCTTTGAGTCAATGTCACTGAAATGTGAAAATTACACTTCAAAATTCATGACATCACATGCAGAGATTCAAGCATGAAATTTAAATGTGAGACTTCGACTTTCATTGATTTCTCTACTAATGGGAATGTGATGGTAAAATTAATGTTTGGGCAACATTCAGAATCAACTGTCATCATCATCATCATCAGCCTGACTACGTCCACTGCAGGACAAAGGCCTCTCCCATGTTCCGCCAGTTAACCCGGTCCTGTGCTTGCTGCTTCCAATTTATACCCGCAAACTTCTTAATCTCATCTGCCCACCTAACCTTCTGTCTCCCCCTAACCCGCTTCCCTTCTCTGGGAATCCAGTCAGTTACCCTTAATGACCAGCGGTTATCCTGTCTACGCGCTACATGCCCTGCCCATGTCCATTTCTTCTTCTTGATTTCAGCTATGATATCCTTAACCCCCGTTTGTTCCCTAATCCACTCTGCTCTCTTCTTGTCTCTTAAGGTTACACCTACCATTTTTCTTTCCATTGCTCGCTGCGTCGTCCTCAATTTAAGCTGAATCAACTGTGCTGGAAGTATATTGACGTAATTGTTTTAGCACCCGGCTAAAGCACCAAGCATCGCTTATTTCGCGATTTTCTCATGACATTACTCAATGAAATGTGCACAAATTATGGTGTTTCGCATTTCGGTATTGCGACTTTATCAACTTCAGCCACTCATGCTCGTCATGCTCGTCCTTTCTTGAACCCAAATGTGAGCACACGGGCCTACAACATTTCCGCCTCCATCGGAAATGCAGCCGCCGCAGCCGGGATTCGAACCCGCGCCCTGCGGGTCAGCAGCCGAGTACCTTAGCCACTAGACCACCGCGGCGGGGCCTTTCTTCATGTCGCCAGTCCTTTTTATGCCAATGTGAAATTTGTGCACATTCGATCATATGTGCATAAAAGCCCTGAATTCATTTCCTAACAAGGGTGTGAGCATATGGCAGGGACAACCTGTGCATGTGGTGAACTCACCTCGAATGTTGGTCTCAAAGACCGAAACATTGATGTTGATGTTGAAATTAATATTTTCTGCGATCATTGCCGCCACCTTTCGGAACTCCGTGTAGTTGCCCATAACAGCCAACGTGTCAAGTGCATCGATGAGTGTGAGTGAAAAACTGCCCCAAGTGTCAATGCCGTCGCAGGAAAGTGGTCGAAGTTCGTCGTAAGGGTAGGCGTACTTCATGTAGCCGTCGTACGCGTGCTGGAACATCTCCAGCACATGACTCCTGCAAAAGAATCACAAGAAACGTGTTTATATTTGGCCACAAAACCAACTGCAAGTTTATTTTAGGCAGCGAGACCAAGTATTTGCAATGCAAACAAATTGGTTGACAATAACTACTGTTTGGGTTTTACATCTCAGAAACCACGATGCGATTTTGAAAGATGCGGTATAGAGGGTTCCGGAAATTTTGACAATCTGGTCTCCACTAATGTGCGTCTCAACCTCACCTTTACACGAACATTTAGCACTTTACCTCCATCAAAATACAATCGCCGCAGCCGGTATTAGATCCCATGTGCTTTGGGTCAGCAGTTGCACAACATAACCACTGTGGCAGGTAAGTAGATCGTTTAAGTTGACATAACGCATCCCCGGCATCTAAACTTTTCTCTGTAAACCCAGCAACCTAGCTTCAGAACACATAAACAACTTTAAAATGTTTAGCCATTCACTTTGCACTTTCAATACATGCCTGTACATCATGAGTAATTCATAAGGTCAGCAATAAGATAACGAACAACGTCTAGCAGTAAGCCTATCACAGCTATAGATAAGCAGAATGCTACTACTGCGAGCAGTCTTGCAGAACAGGGTATGCATGAGGCCAAGATCGCAATGCAAAGGTTCGCCGCAAAGTGCACTGCTGACACCAATAATTTTTGCAGCATGCTCTTGCAACAACTGATGACGCAGTTTCCACTAATATGTTTCTACTCCCGTATTATGCAAGCTGTTCACCTGTCAGTTTTCTGATCTTCTCGCGCACGCAAGTTGGAAGAACAGATTGCGAGAAACTTCGCCTTAATTTGTACTTGAGAGTTCCCTTTGTAATTCGTCACACAACAACCCAAAGTTTTCAGTTACTCTCAAGAGTTAATAAAGGATCGCCACAAGTAGCAGAGCCACAAATGTAATGACTTTCGAAAATCACCTACATTTGGTCAATTCGCGAATGCAAAATAGTTAAAGTATAATATAAAACAGGCTCCGTGACGCCCATGATATTCAATGCCCCAACAACTCGTCCTTGCGAGAAAAGTGCGCTACGTTTCGTTCATGTCTATCTAGTTCAACGTAAGCAAGCGCTACGTAACGTAAGCTTCGATGCCGACACAAGTGAAGACGAGAAAGTAATTTGTTTGATCTACCTGTAAATTCCCAGTTTGCGGTCGCTGAATTTTTCGGATGAAACGTGAGGAATGATCATACATGACAATAATAATATTACGTGTACTAAGGAGCCCATGACACGAACGCAGACGCTTTAGCACCGGTGAACATGTGCGTGTCCGAAACTGGAAGTGATCGGCTAGGCTGTCCAGCAGCTGCTAGCTGTGAGGCATTGCACGTGGATTAGTTCGGTCCATCATTCAGTGGTCATTTAACCACATCATTCTCATTAACACAGTATACATGCCTCATAACATTGTCAACGACGGCGGCGTCTGCGTCCTAAGCTGCGTTTACATATTTATCACGTGACCACTGTGACCACGTGGTTAGTATAACCTCGATCACAGCGCAGAAGCCACCGGAAACGCACGCATGGGTCTTTTCCTTTTCCGCTAAGCTTTCATGTCGGGAGCATTGTAGCCGTTCAAAGGTAAGCTGAAAATCCGTCGAATCAATGTCTTTACTAGCATCATTCCTGTTTAGAAATCGTAAGTACTATGCTGCATTGCCTATGTGCGTGTTTGTGTGTGTTATTTAAACGAGGTAAAAGTTCTATCGGTACTTATTGGTGCTTGGCCCCAAAGACTTCACGCCTGATCAGCCGGCCTGCAGAGTTTGTGACTGTGTTACGAAGACCCGTGGATTGATTCCCGTTTATCGTGTTGTTAAAACGGTTTACAATGAGCGCATTTTTTCATTTTGTGTTTTTGTATGCTGTAAACTTTGCTGTTTTGGCTCGTCGTAGACCGTCTTCGCTTCTGTTGTGCCAATAGTCATCGCTCTTCTCTTGGCAGGTTCAACATGTTGATGCCTAAGAAGAATCGCGTGGCTATCTACGAATACCTCTTTAAGGTGAGCAAAAAAATATTCTGTCTACTACAATTTGCGGGGTATCAACTTGGCTTGTGCTGGTTACGCGGCTTGAAGCAAGATTGCCCGCCCGCCTAAAGACTAGCATGCTGGCTGCGGAGTCGACCACAGTTTATAATGTTAGTAGCGCGGTGATTCAAAATAATTAGTGCGCTGCAGGGATTTCTTCAAACGTATTCGGTGTTATCAACCATAAGTGCGTGTTATTCGTGTTTTAACGAAACTATCTTCGATTGGGCAACATGAAACTGGGTTTGGATGTATTGAAAGCTTCGGTGTGAACCCCATGACGCGTTTCCCGTAGTGAAGCCTGTTTTGTGTGTCAGTTTCTGTATTGGTTGAAAAGCTTGTGACGCATGTAAGTCGACCTTTCTCGGTGTTCTGCACACACCGCGTGTTCAAAAAGCACGCGCTGTAGGAAATTGGAATTCGTCGGTGTGATGATACGACGCGGCCTGGCCATAAACGCCTTGGGAGGTTGAATATACTAGTGTCAAGTTAGATCATTGTGCCGGCGTGTTGGTTTCAACTCCACGGTATTTGTGGCACGGTCATCAAAAACGCTCGGTCTGCCATGATGCCCCTTTTGTACCCTTGTAGGAAGGTGTCCTTGTGGCCAAGAAGGACTTCCACGCGCCCAAGCACCCCGAGCTGGAGGCCATCCCGAACCTCCAAGTAATCAAGGCGCTGCAGTCCCTTAAGTCGCGCGGCTATGTGAAGGAGCAGTTCGCATGGCGCCACTACTACTGGTACCTCACCAATGAGGGCATCCAGTATCTGAGGGACTTCTTGCACCTGCCACCAGAGATTGTGCCCGCCACATTGAAGAAGCAGTCTCGCCAGGAGGCACCAAGCCGAAGGCCAAAGAGTGAGTGCACTTGATTTAACTAGCTGGCTCTTAGCCACTGTCACTCTGCATGGTTAAATTACCCGTAGTTGTGTGCTGGTGTCTATGGCATTGAAAAGCGAAGCACAAGGCTGCATGTTCAATTCTCAGTCATGGTGGCCTCATCTCGATGGAGGAAAATGAGAAAAAGCCTGCAACTTCAGTTTAGGTCTAGGTGGTAAGAAAGAATTGGGGATCCCCCACTGTAGCTTTCCTTGTAATCGTAGATTAATTTTGGCTTGTGAAATGTTTTCAATAAGGAAAGCTAGATGTGTCAGAGTGCCTCTCTTCATTGACTACTTTCTCTCCATCTCCATTATTTCAGTTAAGAGTCTGTAATGGTGAAAGACATGCCACATTTGTCTAGCTACAGCTTGAAGCGTTTCCACGTTTTTTTTTTTCTTTGGTAACTTTAGTACTTTGCATGGAATATATTATTTGGTGGATGGCCACTATTTCATTCACTGAGTGTACATTTATACTCCTGTGTACTGGTCTGGAGAGCATTTTGTATGCTGGAATACCATCTTTGCCAGGCCTCCCTGAGCCACTTCAGGTAGCCTCAGTATCAGAGTTCATTGCCACTTGTATCGATTGCCACGATAGATCACGATCTAAGAATGAGCTGAATTAAATAGATTTGTTCCGCACTTTCTCATATTGACGAGCACGTCGAAAGCTACATCAGTGTGTGCCACAACCTTGAGCACATCATGAAATATCACATCACCATTGAAAGCGTGATAGCACACATCATGAAAGCAAGAGGGATGGCTCAGGACCCCTTTCATTTTGGGATCGGACTTTTGATGTGGGCAGCCCATAACTAAGATAACACTAAAGAAGGGCTTGTTACAAACTGCTTAGACACCATTTGATTTAAGCCCTGCGTGGTGATCTAGTGGCTAAGGTACTCGGCTGCTGACCATGACCCTGCAGGTTGTGGGATCGAATCCTGGCTGCGGTGGCTGCATTTCCTGATGGAGGCGGAAATGCTGTAGGCCCGTGTGCTCGAATTTGGGTGCACGTTAAAGAACCGAAGGCGGTCGAAATTTTCGGAGGCCTCCACTACGGGAGGCCTCCGAAACCACCATATAATCATATGGTGGTTTGGGACATTAAACCCCACATATCAATCATTCGTTTGCTTTAATGTTACGTCATTTCTTTGGTGTGCTGCTATAGAGAGAACATAACTTCGTTGTGTTACTGTGCTATTGGTCTTTTGTTTTATTTGGCAAAACAGCTTGTTCGTTCCAGTGAACTTTCTACCTAGATTCGTTGTCAACATTTTGTTTAGTTTTAACTTTTGGTGGAGGCAGAAGTGTACGAGGCCTGTGTACTTAGATTTAGGGGCATGTTAAAGGGGCCTTGCAACATTTTTGAGTATGGTCAGAAAACTCTGCCGATCGGTAGTAGAGGCTCCCGACAACATGCGAGCCAAATATTATTGCACAGCATGCAGCCTGTAATTAACAAATTATCAATGTCAGCTTAAAATTGCTTTTTTTTTTTTCTTTACAAATCATGTAATATTCCCAAAAATCACACGTAGTAAGCCCATCTATCAGCCATTGGCTGATTTGAACGCGGCAGGCTGCTACTTGTCCGCGCGCGCGATCACACTGAAAAAGTTGCGCATTCGAAGGGAAAAAAAAAAAAAAGTGCTCAAGGTCGTGAAGCGCATGTGATGTTTTTCTGTGGCCCTGCCATCCCTCCCTGCTTAGCTTCCAGCGCTTTCGTCAGGACGAGAGGAGAATGCAATTGCAGCATGCGACGAACCTTTGTTACTCCACTCGCACTGGACGAATTCTTAAAATTTTTGCGCCGTTGAATTCGTGAGGCAAAAAGCTCTTCCAGTAAATTCATTCCATGGTTACTTGAAAAAGTGTTTCAGGGCCTCTTTTAGGACCTCAGGTGGTTGCAATCTGTTAAGCCCTCCATTACAGTGTTCCTACAGTTCATTACAGTGTCGCTATAGTGTAACTGGTAAATGTCTTGCTTTGCAGTGACGCAAGACATGCAGAGTAAAACAACAGACGACCGCAGTGACTACAGGAGGGCACCCGGTCTGGACAAGAAGGGTGACGTCGGACCAGGAACAGACACCAACTTTGACTTCGTGAGTTTAGCCACATTAGACCGTTCCATTTCATTTCCTTGTGTATGCCTTCTTCAGTAGCAGAGTGCACATTTGTGCATGCAATTTGTCTTGTAGACATGGAAGAAACATAAGTGTTGTGCTAGTCATGTGACATTTTCACTTGCCGACTTCATTTGACTGCAAATTACTGTTATACATGGCCTGTTCAGTAGTGTACTGTAGTGTGTGGTGAGATGGTCAGGCAATTTTTTGTTCTCGTAAAGGTTGTAATTTTTTAGCCAGTGATTCAGACCTTTTGGAACTGAATTGTACATTTACTGATTCTACAGTCAGACTTCTTTCTTTCTAAATTTAATTACTTGTTTTAAAATACACAAAAGATTTTCCTGCAACCATTGGTTTCTATTTATAAAATGCTGCCACCACCAGTTTGTGCACTATTAATTTGTCTTAAGATAGGTCTCAAAATTAGTCTGCAGAAAACAAAAGTAATGTACAACAACCTTGGAAGAGAACAGCGCTTCAAGATAGGTAATAGTGCACTCGAAGTTGTAAAAGACTGTCTACTTAGGACAGGTAATAACCGCGGAGCCGAACTGTGAGTGTGAAGTAAATAGAAGAATGAGAATGAGGTGGAGCACATTTGGCAAGCACTCTCAAGTCATGACAGGTAGATTGCCTTTATCCCTCAAGAGGAAGGTATATAACAGCTGCCATCTTGCCGGTACTTGGCTACGGAGCAGATACCTGGAGACTTGCAAAGAGGGTTGAGCTTAAATTGAGGACGACACAGCGAGCAATGGAAAGGAAAATGGTAGGTGTAACCTTAAGAGACAAGAAGAGAGCAGAGTGGATTAGGGAACAAACTGGTTTCAAGGATGTCGTAGTTCAAATCAAAAAGAGGAAATGGACATAGGCCGGGCATGTAGCACGTAGACAGGATAACCGCTGCTCAATAAGGGTAACTAGCTGGATTCCTAGAGAAGGCAAGCGGGTTTGGGGGAGACATATGGTTAGGTGGGCAGATGAGATTAAGAAGTTTGCGGGTATTAATTGGCAGCAGCAGCCACAGGACTGTGTTGACTGGCGGAACATGGGAGAGGCCTTTGTCCTGCAGTGGACGTAGTCTGGCTGATGATGATGATTATTTGTGACTAAAAAGGGAATACAATTGAAGCATATACAGCGGACTCTCATTAAGGGGAGACGCGGCACTTGAAAAACTGAAAATCGCGAAAAAATCTGTTTTTGGAAACCCATATTTTTGGGTTGTATGTCAGATAAACTGCCTATTCTGTAAATATTAGCACTTAATTCAACTCCTAAGTGCACAAAATATGCTATTTTTGAGGTCGCCGCAGTGCCCAAAACAAGCACAAAGGCCAAAATCAAACCAAACTTACGCATGCGCCATTCCGAGACCATGCGGCCATCGTCGTGCCATCTTGGTCTTATTATCACCGTGAATTCTTTTCTCTCGTTTGCCGCCTTTTAAAATGGTGTCAACGGCACGGTTGAGATGCTATACGCGTTTCTACAAGATGATATGCGGAGCGCTGATCGGCTAGAGCAGCGCATTCATATCTCGCGGCGAAAGCGTGCCCACCATTGGCTGCTGCGCTGGAAGCGGGGGCAGTCCCTCCTGGTGATGGCACGTCTAGTGGGCTTGTCTCGCTGTTGCTTTCTGCTCCATCTGCTTCGATAGACGTTAGCTTACGGGACGCTTTTTGCCTTACGTTGTATTTTTGATCAGTTTCCTTTCTTTTTTTTCTTTTTTTTTGCACAAGTTCTGTGTCCTTTATTTTGTTGCTGTGCGTGATGCCGGCAACCAAGCTGAAGACCGTTTGGACCGCGGAAACACGTTATGCGGATTTTACGAGAATCGAAATACCGCTTTTCTGCTGCAAAGGCCCAGTGCGTAGATGCTTTCGCCGGCGAAACTGTGTTGTTGGGTGCCACCAGTCGGAATCCGACAAACCGTGTGTACCTGGAGCCACGAATGCCCCGAGCTTGTCCAAGAGCTCCAGATCCAGCACGTGCTCTGAAACGGTACCATCAAGCGTGACACCGAGTGTGCTAAAGGGCCAGACCCAGCACATTGCATTGGGGCCAATAGCGTGCATGGGCCATTGACCCTTCATCTGAGGACGCATTTTCTTAACTAAGGAAGAAATTGATGCAAATGGGAGACGCCGTTCGCGCTGAACTCTTATCTATGCCAGCGACGCAGAAAATATTTGAACTGATGCAGCTGGCTCTTGAAAAAGATGCCCTACGTGTGAAAAAACATTCTAAACGGCACTTAAAGATGGAGGGAAGACAAAAGAGGAAAAAAAAGTGCCCAAGGACACTTGGAACTACTCTGCTGGAGCTTTTTGAGGAAAACACATGTGCTGAACTTTCAAAGCCCGTTTTCTCAAAATGGATTTTTTAGTTAGTTGTGGTGCTAAGGAAAGCGATTTCTCAAGAAATGCTTATCAGATTTGTGTGCCGTTTCTTTTACTCAGCTACCACTCATTATCGCTAAAGTATATTGCCTAGTGGCTCTTAAGGTCCGCCGTTTCCGTGGATTTGCGGCGAAGTTGGGATCAGGAATAGGCACACCACACCCAAAGTTTTTGAATTAACCAGAGTTGTGCTGACCTTTGCTTAAAATTATCCGCTCAAACTTGCATTGCGAAATACGGGACCGCGGAAATACTTCGAATCAAGTGGGTTTTCAAAATAACAGAGTTCTAATTAACGAGGTTTTACTGTACTTTGTTAACGTGAACTCGTGGTTCGCAGTACAGTGAAACCTCGTCAAACCGTACCGGCGTAAACAGTAGTTTCGTTTCAAAAGTAGTGAAGTCAAATCCCCGACTCGGCGGCCATTGAACATAATGCATTATGTATCCACATAAGCCGTACCAGCTTATCGCATATGCAGTTTTCCCAATTTTCGTTGCGCACTCGCCGCGGCATGTCGTCCCCCACTGGGCGTCCCGACAGAACAGCAAGCCCCAGAGATCGAAACACGCCGCGCTTTGTTTGTGTTGATGATGATGGCGGCTGTGTTGGTGAACGCCATCTCTTGGATTTTTCTGCAACAAGACGCACTCGGCCGGCTAGGCTTCTGGTGTTGTCCACGCGATGGCGCTTTGCACTAACACGCAAACACGGTGTACGCTTGCTTTGCTTTCTTTGTTCCTTTGGCGCCGTGCATAGGTGGTCTCTGGTTGATCGGTGCCGTACAGCTCTCATGTCGTTTTTCACGTGTTGTGTATGTGTGCTTGTGCTGCTTTTGTACTTGCATTATGCCAAAGCTGGGACAAAAGCATCGAGTGCTAAAAATAGAGGAGAAATTGAACATAATTCGTGCTATGAAAGTGGCACGAAAAAATCGGCGCTGGCAAGCGAAAAGGACCTGCCGTTAACCACGGTGTGTGGAATTAGGAATTCCAGAGAGAAGTTGCTCGGCAGTGCTGCTGCAACTGCGAAAAGGTGCCGGCTACGCGGTTCGGCGTTTTCGGATGTAGAGGAGGCGCTGGTGAAGTGGCTAAAAGCTGCACGGTCAAAAAATCTGCCTATCAGCGGACCCCTGCTCGTGGAGAAGGCCCTGGTTTTTGCCTCGCAGCTCAACCATAACAACTTCATATGCAGCAATGGCTGGCCAGCCAGATTTAAGGCAAGGCACGGCATTACCATGAGGACTGTTTCGGGAGAAGTTGCTGCCGCTGACGTGGATGGCGCGGAGCAGTGGCAAAATGGTCAGCTGAAGAACATCTTGGAAGACTACGCACCTGATGACATCTTTAATATGGATGAATCGACACTATTCTTTAAGCTGCTACCAAACAAAACGCTCGCGTTCAAAGGCGAGACGTGCACCGGCAGCAAGCATGCAAAAGACAGAATATCAGTGGCGTTTTGCGTAAACATGACTGGAACCGACAAAACTCCGCTTCTCGTGATTGGAAAGTCGGCGAAGCCTAGATGTTTCAAAGGCGCCCGGTTGCCATCAGGGGTCATCTTTCGCAGCAACACCAAAGCATGGATGACGGCAAAACTCTTTGAGGAGTACTTGCGCCTCATCGATCGTCGTTTCGCGGCTAAGAACAGAAGAGTTGTTATTATTTCAGATAATGCTTTGGTGCACGGCACCCTGGACAACCTGACGGCTGTGAAGTTGGCGTTTCTGCCACCAAACACAACAGCGGTTGCCCAGCCCTTGGACCAAGGCATCATTCGAGCTGTAAAACAGCTCTACAAGAAGAATCTGCTGCGCAGATTTCTTCTCGCTATTGAATGTGGCAAATTATTCTCTATCGTCCTGATTGGCTCGATTCACCTGTTCAAATACTCGTGGCGGCAGGTTAAAGCAACGACAGTTCAAAATTGCTTCAAGCGTGCTGGCTTCAGTGTGTGTGCGGGCGACGCAGATGACGCCAGTAACACCATCGACCAGACTTCGAACATCGTAGACGAAGCTTGCAAAACTCTGCTAGCTGCAGTGCTGGAGCGGCAGGGCGTTACGGAAGGCATTTCCTTCCCTGACTTCAGAGACGCAGACAGCAATGTGCAGACATCTCTGGACATGTCTGACGAAGTCATTGTTGCCTCGGTTGTCGAAGTGTCGCCAAATGATTGTGATGAGGACGACATGGAAAGCGACAACACAGGTGATCCATGTCCGACAGTGGCCGAAGCTGCGCATTGCGCCAGCGTCATGCAGGTATTTGCCGAGAAGAGGGGGCTGGCGGCAAAGCTGGCTCACAGCATAAGTGAGTTTGAGGCCGCTGTCGTTGCTGCTAGGCCGCTGCGTCGTCAAATGAAGATTACAGACTTTGTCACGCGAAGTTAATAAATTACTGCACGTTTTTTGTTCTTTCATCGCATTCCCCGACGTTTTATTTTTTTGACAACTACCGTAATTACTCGAATCTAACGCGCACCTTTTTTCCGGTTAAGCGAGTTCATAAATTGAGTACGAACAAAAAATTACGGTCAATCTATTGCCATCGCAAATCAAAAATGGCTGCCCCCTACGTGCGTCGGCATGCTGCGTCGGCTATTTCTGCCTATGTGTTTACCATGTGTGGCACTTCGTACGTGTGCTGAGGAGTTCGTCATCTAGTAGTGCATTAGCATCGACGACGTGAAAGGGCCGACTCCAAAACTCAAGTGCACCACGATGCCAGCTTTTTAAAAGAAAAGTCATCGCGTGTGCAGAAACGGACGGAAGTCGGGCCGCATCGCGGTCGTTCCCGAAACGTGCGTGCGGGACCGGCGGAAACAAAAGCAGAAGATTGTCGACAGCAAAGCTTCACGCAAAGGCTTCAGTGAACCACAGCAGGGTCGGTTTCCGCAAATTAAAGAGCTGCTCCGCGAGTATGTGCTTGAGGAGCGAGCGGCACAGTGGCCCGTGACGACAGAACTGCTCCAAGTGCGGGCTATGCAATTAGTCTTAGAAAAAAGTCTAATGCGGAGCCAGTTTAAAGCGAGCAGGTGCTGGCTAATTAACTATATGAAGAGGAAAGGCTCTTCCCTTCGAAGGGGAACATGCATATGCGAAAACTTTTCCGGAGAAGTACGATGAAAAGCTTTACAGTTTTCAAAGGTTCGTCCTAAACTTGCGGCGCAACAACGGCTACCTGCTTGGGCAAATCTGCAATGCCGATCAGACCCCTCTTTACTTCGACATGCCTGGCACCACAACTGTCGAGAAGGGGGCAAAGCAAGTTCGCGTGCTGACATCGGTCCACGGTAAAACTACAGTGACGGCAATGCTCTGTTACACGTCAGATGGGCACAAGCTTCGCCCGTACCTCATATTTAGATGGAAGACAATCCCGAAAGGAATCGTTTTTTCGAGTGGTGTGATCGTGCGGGCCAGCGAAAAAAAATGGGTGCGCGTTGCAATCGATGTCTTACGTTTTTTTTTTTTTTTCGCGGTGGAAATCGGGTGCGAGTTACAATCGAGGGCGCGGTAGAATCGAGTAAATACGGTAAGTGAGCGACCTAACGCTATTTCGGTTAAGCAGTACTACCGTTTAGTACGTACTTTTTTCGAGCTCCGGCCAACGACGGTTTAACGAGGTTTCACTGTACCTTTTTCTAGGTTCTCAAAGGCTTGATCATTTATTTGAGACAGAAAAACAACTGAGAACTTTTGTGTTGGTACCCCTTTAAGTACAGTCGACGTCCGATCTCTTGGATGCCCGAAATTGTGGACATGCCTGATTTCTCGGACCCATCTGTGGCACTATCAAGTTAACCATTGAGTCAATGTATTAAAAAAGTTCAAAATCCCGGACCTTTATAACTTTCGCCATACAATTTTCCAGAGTTTTTACCGCTAACTGCAGATTTGGAGCCACTATCGACGCCGCCATTTTGTTTTCGTACCCTCAACCTTACCACGCCGTGGCTGCCGTACCCTCGAAATCGCAAATGCTGCAATCCAGTGCACACCAATCAGTTGCCAGCCATAGCTTAGTCAAATCTGTGGCCACAGCCGCATGATGCTGTGCAGCCTGTGCTCAGACAGTTCGAAAAGTTACGGTGTTGACCCATGGTCTGCCAGCGGCATGCATTCAGACTCGTGGAAGTTGCTTACACACTAGACCCTCTGGAACTTATTTGCCATGCGAGCTTCATACTGGATGGCGAGACTGCCATCTTGGCTGAAGTGCACAGCATGTGCGAGGAACTTCCACCAGCGGACCTCACCGTCGACGATCTGCACGCTGCTGGTGTTTTGATTACGGCCGGGATAACCTTTGAGGCTTGGAGGGCTTCGCCGATGCTGACAAAGACCCTTGAGCTGTGTGTAAAATTGACCAATGACGCAACCATTTGTCATGTTATGGAGGATTCTGATGACTCCTACCGTGAGATCGAAGAGGCAGCGCCGCCTACAAGCCAACGAGCTCGAAGTTGATGCAAGCACTGACACTGTCATTGGCGTACAGCGACAGCATGACGTTAGATCGCGGGCAAGTGGGACGCCGTAGAAACAGAATAGGACTTATTTTTGCGTCTAAGCGTTTACAAATGCAGTTGTGCCGGCCACATCAAATTTTTTTCTTTTATTTCTTTCTTTTGTCATTTTTTTTAAAATGTATACGGCTCTTTTTGGAGCCACCTAAACAATGATAATGATGCATTTGCAGAATTGCAATACGAATCCTGTACTTCTGCTGTGACCCTCTCAGTTAGCGAAAAATGCCTATTAGAAACGCGTGTTCCCACTTGCGTTCGTTTTGCGGATGTTCTCGCAGTCAATTGAGGGTCCAGGAAATCGGATGTCAACTGTATTGGCCAAACGGGCCGAGTTGGCAGCACTTGTTTTCTTCCTTCATGTCTTTGTTGTGTGTGCGCTGAAAACTTCCTGGGTTTACTCTTTGCCTTTTTTGTCCGTGTTAAGTGGGGCTGTATTGCTATTTCAACCTTCTCCAAGAATATGCACTTGTACTCTAAACTTATGCTGCTGCAGCATGGTGAACAAGTGTAAGACTCTAATGTTACTTTTTCCGAGGTGATAGGTTGAAGGGTGCTTTGCTGTAATGGCTGCATAATGATAGAGGCACAACACACTGTTGTTTGCTTGCATTTGGAAAAAAAAAAAAAAACTACCCTCAATCGGCAGCTGACCATTATGGGGCCTTGAACACTGAAATTGCACGTCTTTTGTGACTATAAAGCAGCCGAAAATGACTGCCACAGAGTAAAGTATTCTTGTATATGCATCAACACTGTGTTTTGCTTGTAAAGTTGGCTATGCATAACATTTCAGCAATTGTATATTGTGCTGAAGGACTAAGCACTTCTTGCATTCTGAAAATACCAGCCAATATGCTCAATCTGCAGCTGACCATTACGGTGCCTCCCAGCATGGAAATTGCACGTCTTTTGTGGCTAGAGCAGCAGAAAATAACTGCCACGCTTAAGTTTCCTTGCATATTCATAGTTTTATTTTGCTTGTAAAGTTGGAAGTATAACATTCCAGCAACCGTATACACATTCAAACCTCATAACGAGGTTGCATCTTACACGAAAATAAGTTTGTTATATTCAAATATTTGTTACAATGGTTTTTTGCTAACACTATTCCTATGGCAAGGCTGTGTTTAATTTACTTTGTTATAACCAACGTTTCGTTATATCGAGGTTTGAGTAATGCTGAAGGACTAAACGTGTTTTCGCATACAAAACATTCGTGCAGAGTTGGTTGAGTGTAAGTGTAGATTGGGGATAGGTTCTGCTGGCGTGATGTGATCTAACACAAGTTCCTCACTTCCTTTTGCAGCGGGGTGGCTTTGGACGTGGCCGTGGAGCTCCACAGTAAAGCACTTCAATGCCCGTCTAGGAGCTTGTGAATAAAATAAAACTTGCTTCAGACAAAGCAGTCTCATTCATTGCGAAAGGGTATTGTCACGAAAGAACCTGGCATTCCTATATGGATAAAGCTGCAAAACAAAAGAAATGCACAAAATTAGTGTTTGTGCTGAAAATTGTACAATATTACTTGAATGTGCAGCTATTCATGCATCATAAAGCCTTCTAAAGAAATCACTAAGAACCTTTTTGGAATATGAGAGGCCTTTAGGATATGGGGACGTGTTCAAAGTGCAGTGCTTGCCTAGTTCTCTCGAACTATAGAACCAGGATTAATGCAGCTTTTCAAAGCACGTGCATGGGCTAAGGCAGGGCAGTGGTCCTAGAGATGAAGAATCATGGAAAAGTGTTTCTGCATGTATAGTATTTTTGTAACATCGGTATTGCCACAAGTGCTGACAGTTTTTTACATCTTGGATTGATATTCCAGCCGCAATTAAACAGAAAAGGCTCACTGAGTAATGTGCTGCCTCTGAAGGACGAATGCTGCTACAGTAGGCATGCACGCTATGTCCCTGATGGCTACCAATATTCTAACAAAAATACTTGAATATCTTGTGTTAAATGTGGCTCAGAGTGAGCTTTGTTTTATTGGAATTTTTTTGGAACAAGCTTTTACTTAATTGCTTGAATCAAGTTTCTCAAGCTCTGGGTTAGCTACAGCTGTATTTTTTTTTTTTTTTGCTGCATAAAGCCTGAAATGCTGCACGCACATTGTTCTATAAATTTTTAAGCTGTCTTTGTTCATTGTTAGTAGCTGTACTGAAACACTGAATTTCAATGGGCTGATAAATTGCTAATTATTGTTATATTTGAAAAGTGCAGTGTTTCAGTGTTTATTCATTTAGATTTTCATGCATGTGTGAAAAACATTTTCTGCCCTGTTTATTATTATAGTGTCACAAAACAATAGAAATTAATTTTACTATTTAAATTATTTATCCAAAGTAAAAATTACTGGACTATTATAATTGGCACAAGAAAATGCATATTTTTATATCGAACATGTCTAGAAATTTAAGATATCCCCAGGTACCTGACCATTGAGTGCCTCTTTTTTTTTTTTTGCTTAATTTCAATTTTTCAGACAGCCTAGGAAGAAATTGCACTAAACTTGCTTTAAGTGACTGCAAAAATCAACATATACACATTGTTTATTCTTCAGCAACAGCAACATAATTTCTAAAAAAAAAAACACCTATGTATACCTGTTCAAACATGTAGCATTGCTATAAACATCTGCGTGGTTAACGGACGTACATCACTAAGTGCACAAAGTGGTGTCAGGTGGAAACTGGAGGGAGAAAAGACACTGTTGATCCAGTCAACATGATCTCGCCACATATTCTTTTGAAATGTCGCTTGCTCTTCAACATCAGAGTCTTGATTCTTAAGTAACTCCTCCTACGACTGATGTTACTGAGCCAGATTCCAATCCAGAGAAATTGCCGCAAGACTCGTTTGCGGGATCAAAACCAGCATGCACTTTTATATCGCAGGCAAACTGAGTGGGTGAGTGCACTGAACAAAACTGTAGTTGTGTTTGTCAGGAAAGCAAAAAAACTTATAATAATCATTTATGTCATCGCCAACGAGACAGTAGTTCTTGCGAAGTCCCCGAAACTGGAAATGCAGCTACAGCAGCATCGTGTATGCGAGTCAGTGTCTGCACAAAACACTTAATTGCGCACAGCAAAATGATTCATTTTGCAGGTGCAATAAGCGAGCAACCTGAAGGATGAAACCGAAACTAGCTGGCACACTGCTGTAGTGAAGCTTAACAAAAATGGGACATCAGTGCAAGCAACAATGTCGGGTATTCGCGTGATGCGAAAGCACTTTTCAAGAAAGAAAGGTGATGGAAAAAGGTGCGATTTCTAAACATGCAGGCAATGACGTATGCATGTATGTCTTTGACCGTGTAGTAACTGTTAGCGAATGATGTACACATACGTCTTTGACCCTCAAAGGGTTCATTACAGTTTTCAAAAGGAAAGCACTGGATAGCGTAGAGAAAGAAAAGAAATTTCTAGAACAAGTTTCTGATCATGCAAGTAAATAGGGTACTGTAAGCATGTATAGAAACATGAAGAAATGAGCCATGGCAAAACACTAATAGAAATTGATGTTACACTCATGTGCTGGAGTTTATGGTGCAAAATTTAAACAAGTCATTCTTTAATTTTTTTTTTTCTAAAGTAGGGAACTACTTGTGAAGTTGACCATTTCTCTATTGTCTGCATAATAATGTAATCACTTTAAGATAAACAGAGGCAGTGGTCATCTACCAAGAACAAGTGTTCTGACACTTACCAAGCCCATTCATTGGCCACAGGATAGATTCCAATGGCAGAGTTAGAGTAGCTGATCGACTTCGCAAGCAAGCACTCGATTCTAACGTGGACATCCAAATCCGTGATTGGAATGTAATGCGCGCTTCCGGAGCAAGAAGGAACCAAGTGCTAGAGTTGACCAGAATACCTTGTGTGTAGTTATTCCATTCTGCTAATTCCACCGTCGAATTTTGTCAGATTTCCGCTCATATCCAGCAGTTTCAGTGTTGCTCTCCGATGAATCGCTTGTGCAGGGAATTCTGGCTGCCGCTATTGATCAGTGGAAGCAATGCCACATGATTTGCCCAGATGCCCATGTCGTCCGTAATTACTGCCAATGCACGGGACACTGGCAGCGACCACAAGCAGGCAAACGTGCCAAAGAAAGTATACCACTCTACCGATTTTAGCAAAGCAACTTTTCATGCTTCACGCAGTGACTCCCGCTGTGAATCCACTCAGACTCTGCCATTGGAATTCAAGATAATTTCCAATGAACGTGGCAACTCGACAATTAATGCCTTCTTGAATAAAGCAGATAAGCTGATCTGAGAGCCATGTGTAACCAGCTTTCAGTGACTGTTGCTGACAGGATTTCAATCATTGCACCAAGCTGGCACACCAGGATTCAAAAATAGTTTGCATACTACACATGACAACAGGATTTGAACTCCTGCTTTGAATCAACCATAACAGTGAAACCACCATACAGGAGAGCTGAAGTTTGTGTGTATAAGCGCAAGAGTTTAAATTAACGAATGGGGCAGATATCTTCAAAAAACACCAGTGATGCAGTAAGACTTTCTGCATTATATGTGGTCTATATTACGGATCTGTCATTTCAGTTCTTTGCTGACTAGTCTTATCACTTCTTGAAAATCTCATAACATAAAGAATCTGTGCATGTATCTCACAACATGTTATTTCTTGTTTAATTACTGCCATTGTTGAGGTGTCCCACAAAGTAAAAGCAGCTGTTGCTTATTTACACTTTCCCTACTTGTCGAGATGCCTCGCGTGTGCCTGAGCTCAGATGCTCCCACTATAAGTGAGCGCAGCATGCTAGAATAATGAAGCATGTAAAGTGACTCGTTTGACAATTACATAGCATTAGCTTGACATTTAATGCCTGTTCCATTCAGACCAGTGTACAGTTCGGCAGGAATACTTGTGCACACTCACTCACACACCGTTGATGCCAGTCTCAGTGGTAAACCCAGGACAGAAACTGAGCACAGTGTTGACAAAGCCTTCACTTGGCTTTAATGTGATTTTCACCAAATACCTAGAGAGGCTGTAACTTACTACAAGACCAGTGTGGCTGATAGAGAATGCTCAACTCCAAAGGTTAATTCACTCTGAATATCCCTAAGTACTACTGCAATAACAAACTAAAATAAGCCTCATTTCTCACGTTACAGGCCATGTGTGAACATATCTAAGATTGACCAGCAGTGAAAAACATTTGACAGTTTCAGTTACATATGCATCAGTTACAAAATACTTGTATACAGATGAGTATTTTTTGGTGCATATGGAAGCAATAAACTGAAGCCATTAAATGTTTTCTCAGTGCTGAAAAACGTGAGATTGGTTTGCATAAGGAGGCTATTTTTCAATGTGAACTGTAGAACAGCATAATTGAGTAGTTTTGCAAGCAGTGCTACCAATTTCAGAAATTTTCTTCTCTTGAAAATAAACAGAACTTTTTAAACACTGGCCAGTATTAGGAGGTTGCTTTTCTCAAATATCAAATAGTTGTATTTAGTTTCATAATTAACTACTGAAACTCCTATCATTGAGCAACAAAAGAAAAGTTGCTGTCTGTGCGTTTTGAAACAAAGAAGTGAAGCACGCATGCACCCTTGTCCTTTCATTAGTCTGGAAGTGGTGGACAATCTGAAGCCTTACCCTACACACTGCTCGTCCCCTGACAAGGCCAAGTGGAACAGGGCCGTATGCACGGGAATCCGTCGAGTTCTCCTTGTTGTCACCTTCAAGCCAAACATGCCCCTTTGGTATCTGCCAAAAGATTGAAATGTGTAGCTTCATGTAGTTTAGGCTCAAGGTGCTGTTAAATAAGGCCATCGATTTCACTGTCTATGCGTGATAAAAGTATATTACAACTACCCATTGCCTATGCAAGATAGTTTGGTTCCTTAGAACAGCTACTCATATAGTGGTCCCGGTGTACATACTCGTCCATCACAAAATGAATAAATGCTTTACCTATATAATGGGTCTATACAAGCTATTCTGTTGAAATACAAAGTCAACGTGTGAACTGTGTAGAATAGCACAATTTTGAAAGTTGCAAGTATTGCTTTCGATTTCAATAATTCTCTACCCTTGGAGATAAATGAAGCTTTTAGAGTGCTGCTCAGGTCAGAGTTTTTTTCTTCATGTGGGTGTGTGTGTTTGAGGACCTAGCGCTGTTTCTACACTGACACGAAAAAGCACACACCACGATTCTTCGTTCCGTATTCTATTTTCCGTCCATGTACTAGTTTAACGATTTAACATCAACAACGTTTTAGGCGTGAAATGTCGAACGTACCCTCTGGACGAAGAGCCCCGAAATCAGCTGGTCTCCGTGAACGCCGACGACTCTCTTGCAAATGTATTGCCGCGGATTGTTGGGGCACTTCGCTATAACGATGTCGCCTCTGCAAAAGATGCGATTTTTTTTTTCCCGTGCACCACAGTTTTGACTTAGCACGCCGTACGCGAGTTTACCTCCGAATGCGGTTCATGTGCACAGATATGTGTTCAGTGAGAAGGATGTCAGTTGGACGCAATCGTAGGCTCCATGGAGGAACCGCTGCACTGAAAAGGGGTAAAACGTTTATCGATCAAAGTCGAGCATTCGTGTTTGTAACGTAAGCACTTACTATAACCAGGTCCCCGCCGAACTCGACAACACAGTAGGCGATGGCAACGCTTTGGACAAGGAATCCGGTAGCACGCGCACATCGCGACAACACACGACTTAATAGCGTCATGTGACAGTTTTAAGTAGACGCGATCGTAATTAAACGACAGTGCTCCTTGAGCAACAGCGAAAGACAAACATTTCCGTTATTCGTTTTAAATGCACGAGAAAAGTGTAGACCGCACGTAGCAGCTCACGCTCTCCGCACTGGCTTTACGCTGCGGATTGGATCGGCCGGACTAAGCCCGTTGGTCCAGGCGGCTTTCAAAAGTTTTCGTTTCAGTTTCATTCATGACTAAAGCTTTCATTCATCATTCTCTGCTCAGCATTGCTTTGAAGTTTCACATAACGGAGTGCATACGAAGGCGTTTCGTCATTCACTCTACGGATGCACCGCACACGCAAAGGTTCGTACACTTGCAGCATTTCAAATCTTGTCACTCATGGCTTATTGCTACTGCTTTATGTGGAGGGTCGGCGCCACTGCTACTCTCTCGTATCAGTGTACGTCTTGCACAACGAATTATTATTGAACAGTCCGGCACCTTGCTTTATTCACATAAAACATTACCGATTTATAATGCAGCTTTACGAGCATAGCAAAGGCAGCTCGAGGTGCATTATAGCAGATAAAAAATAATGCATAAAAATTCCGAAGACCCGAGTGTGCTTCGGCGGCAGTCGTTCTCGTGCCCACGCTATGGCCCACGTGATAGGGTACATTTAACTTTGGAGTGTTTAGTCATAACTACCATGTATAGTGTTATTTGTCCTCAATTAATGTAGGTCGAAATGTTTCCTCAATAGTGAATTAGTAGGTTCTTAACAGGGTCCAAAAAGTGCTCGGTATTAGCAGTAACATACTCAGCACAACAGCTGTTTTTGTACAAATGCTTGTTTACAAGCAACATATTCTCGTTATATTAGAGTGACTTTTTCAGCACTAATAATTTACTGCTGATTCAACTCAATTTATTTCTATAAAAACCACATGCATTTACCCATAGCCTTACGTGTTCGGTCAAATATACAATTTGTTTTACTGCAAACATGGCCACTAGGAAAGCAATAAAAAAAGATAAAAAATGCACAAATGTATTCTGATATGCCTGCTTACATCACAGCAGCAGGGTTTAATGCCCACGTACAAAAGTACCGGAGGAAAACTTGAAACGCAGAAATATCTGTGAGAGTAAAGAAAAAAACAATAAAGCAGGTCAGTGAACTTCTGCAGCCTCAGCAAAGCCAACACGTGAAGCGCCGTAGTCAAAAACAGTGTAGTATCGTCCTATAAAAACGTCGCCAAAGATCCAAAGAGGCCCCTGTGGGGCAGGGTATGTCAAGTCCAACAAACCCCGAAAGACACAGGCTGCGGCGAAACTGTGTAATCTGAAAGGCCACATGGAAGAAAAAATCATTACATTAAAGCCACAAATAAGAAGTGAGAAAATTATTCAGTGAGCTGCCTTAATGAATGATTATGGAATGGTTCAGAGTAAATGACTCTGTATAGTACAAAGTATTAATTCACATTATGACAGTATGTTAAGATTCAAACGAGACACTAGCAGCATATTGCGTAAACAATGCCACAACTAAATAGTGTGCTCACTATAGCACTAGTGCCTCAAAAGAGATGAGCACGGCGCCCTAGTCGGCATGAATATAGCTTTCATTTTTGGTAATGGCAGTGCACACCAGTAAACATTCGTAAATCATTGGAGAACCAATGCACACTACAGCCAAGCTGCTAGATGCAGTGTGCATTCAGCATTTGATGCATCTCAAGGGGAGAATGTGTCAACATGCATTTCCACGGGAGGTGAACTAAGGGATGGGCCACATTTGAAATCACTCAGAGATACATCACATGTATGGCATGGGTGTAGTGAAAGGGGGTTTAGGGGATTCTAACAACTCCAAGTTTTTCGATTTTGCTTGTGTATATATACACGCAGATATACAGATGCACGCACGACCATAGAGTATGGTTTGATCCCTCCCCACTGAAAACTATCTTTAGCTACACTCTTGATGTATGGTCTTTAAACTCTTCACTCAGTTTGCTGGCTGGCGTTTAAGTATAGTCTGCGATACACACGGTTGCTACATTCGTGTCCAGCTACATGGATGTCCCAGTGGTACCTTAATTATAGAATCAACAGCCACTTAAATACACAATGAAAGTGCGATGCAAAATTTTTGGTCAACATTCCTTCACTGCAATTAAGCAAACATATTTGTCAAACATCAGCCAAAAGAATTGGTAACTAATCTGTAAAGTAGTGGTTATCACACATTTGCTGACATCCACTGCTGCGAGTAATTCATTACTGAAGAAAGACATGATTCTCTATTTCACTGTTGTCATGGGCCAGATGTTTAAATCTTATGACTCCTTGAATACAAGGCAAGTGATTTGTTCTTTGTAACACGAAATATTGGGCTAGTTGGTTGTGATGTTTGCCCCAAGCCGTTCTATTACGTCTTGTTTTGGGTCGAATGCTCAGCAGCCCCACAGTTCTATTTTAGTGAAAAGCTGACAGCGGTTCATATTAAAAGGGACTGGCACATTTACCGTAATCACTCCTCAGACCCTAAATGAAAAGATGAAATACGTAAATGAATGTTGCCTTGTGAACCTCACCTTTAGGACATAATCATTTCCTGTCAAAGTGTAAGTACGGTTTCCTATATGGAATGTGACCGCTGGAAGCTTTGGAATGTCTTCACATTTGACTGTATACTGGAAAGAGAAAATTTAGGCATGCAAGGACGTTTACAACAACTGTATATGGGAAACAAGCCGTAACTTGCAGGTAACAAATAATGCCGTCTAAAATAGGCAAATTTAAAGGATGTAAAACAGCAAAAAAACAGATACTTTCACAGAATAAAATGTAAATAAAACTATTTAATGATTATTTAAAGGTGTTTAAAAAAACGAGGCATCATGGTGGTCTATATTATTGAAACACGGACACTGATATTGCTTTTGTTGCATGTGCTACGGTATTCTGTGAGCAGCATAACTTTTTTCATATTTACCATTTGTCTTTATTTATACTATTACGCTGGGGTGCATAATAGTGTACAAAGCATGAGATGTACGCACTAAAATTAAAGTGTTGGAACTGAACAAGGACAACTTAAAGATGCATATCACTGGCACACACAGCCTGTCGGTGTGTGCGTTCTGTGTGCCTCTATGTAGCTTTTGTCATGCTATGCTATTTTAGCTATATCGCATTTCAGTCTGCCGTAAAATAAAAAGTTATCAAATACCAGCTGCCTAACTCCACGAGGTCAGAACTGTCCATACCTGACCATGCGAGTAAGGGTAGGCACCAATAATCTTCTGAAGCTTCATCACTTCTAAGGATGGGCCGGCCATTAATGATGTGCCCGTGTCCGCAATAGCTTGACAGCCATTGACACAGAATTTCATTGTGTTGTTCTCGACAGATATCCTGCAATGTATGAAGAATGCAATGTGTCATATAAGAGCAGTCCAAATACGAGTGGCAAACTTGTTTTCCTAGGAAATCGCTCCAGTGCTCTGAATCCTGTTATCTCTGCTCATAAATGCCTTTCTCTGATAGTGTTACCCTAAACGCACATGAAACAGACTACAGACCTCTATTAAAGAATCAAACGAGGCCAAACAAGACAGGACAGAGTTGCCTAAATGTTATTCATTACTATGATCAGACTGCTAATGTTTACTACAGGATGAAGGCCTCTAGTCTACCATGTTTCAACCCTCATCTTTAACATTATTCAACTGAACTGTACCATCAGCAAAAATCCTAATTACGAAATTAGGGATAAAAGAAGTAAAGAGCTTCATTTTTTTTCTAAACGTACATGTTCATATAAAACATGTGCCATGAAACTAGTTGTAAAGCTTACCCATCAATTGCAAACTGCCAGTAGCCTTTTTTTGTGACGGGTACATAATCAATAGAGCCCTTGTAGAAGCGCTTGTCTATGCCACCAAACGTGATTTCACCACCAGTGAGGAATTGCCATTTCTAAAAGGAAAAGACAAGCATAAACGGAATTGTCAGCCAATGAAAAAATTCAAGCATCTCCACGAAGTGAATCGCGATGAGTGGGCAAAGCACTGGGAATCATCCTTAGTGTAAATAATTTGTGACATTGCTCACTCGCACATGTAAATGAATGAAAGCATGTGTGTACACTATACACAATGTGCTTTTGCCGTTGAGTCACCGTTTCCAGTGTCCTCAACTCCGAGGTATCAGCTTGTGGTCGACATTGCCATTTTGCTGTTGCTTCCCAAGCTCTCACCTCCGGGGTAGTTTGTTGTCTGCTTCTGTGTAACCTCTCGCGGACGAGAGCGCATTCACGTTCGTTTTCATCCATCTTCAGCGTCATCATCATCGTGATTGTGCTTATGCTTAATCATCATCAGCCTCATCCTCATCTTGAGAACGAACAACACACAACGAACAATCCTAGACACCCCTAACAGGCTTCACCCCTAAAATAAGGCCATCCTCCATCATAATTGACTTAAAGTTAAAACAGCATTCCTATAAAAAAATCACTTCCCTTTCCTTTAATTTGAAGCTGCATCACTGACTTCTGAATGCCTTTGTAATACGAAAGTTATGCAAGCACTAGATTAGACTGAACGAAACGATACATAAGTATTTATTGAACACCATATTGTAAACTGACAGAAAAGCAGAATTGTGCAGAGAGCAGTTAATGGAGGCATTGGAGTCGACCTTTCTGTTCATATTGCACCCGTGTTTTTTGATTGCCTAAACCTTTAAACACGAATTCTGTGAGAGTAGCTAAGCAGGCTAAGGCTTTATCAAGAGCATAGAGATGACGAGGAGAAAAAAGCTTACCGATTCAGAAAGAAAGAAAAAACAGGTTGTGGTACGAGGCCCTGCAAAACCATGTTGTCAAACACGGTGTTTGCACCGGATGCAGCGATGTTCTTAAAGCCCAGACCTAGGATGCCATCGAATTTTGCAGCCACAAAAGTCAAACCTGGCTCAGTGACTGCTTCAGCGAAAGTCTGGTTTTGAATCTGCAATTATGAAATAAAGGCATGCATTTTTCTGCATAAAGCTCAACTATGCTTGTTCAATGTAAGCATTTTTCAGTGAATATGATTGTGCAGAAGAACAAGCGTTTAAATATTGAGTAAAATGAAGAATGGGGCTGAATGTGT